GCCTTTGCCCAAAAAAGGTTGAAAAACACTGGGTTAGAGGTCTCAGAGGTCTCGTCGTAGGACAGGGCGTCTGTCCAGCCCCCTGTGGCTCTCAAGGAGGCTAGCTAGGACACCTGGGTTGTTTCCGTGTGTTCCTATTGGAGTAATGCTGACGTGAACACAGTACTGTCCATATGTCTTTCCAAGTAAGTGTTTGCAAACCTGGGGGAGATGCCCAGAACAGGGATAATGAGGCATCAGTAGCTCTGTTCTTACTTTCTCGGTCCAACGCTCCTTTGGCCCTAACCTCCCCCTCTCACCCATCGGCTCCTTGACCGGTGGCCTCACTCCCTACACCAAGTATTGAGAATCCTCCTTATGCCACTTGGTCAGCTCTGGCTTTCCTGGCGCAGGCCTCTCCCCACACTCGGCCTCCCGTGCTGAGGGCCAACCCTAAGCCTCTGCATGGGGACTGCCCCACGGTGCACCCAGCCTGCCTGGCTTGGGCGTGTGAGTTGTTTCCCTTGCTGTCCTCCCACTTTCTAGCCCTAAACTACCCTGGGCACAGCGCCTCCCTGAGACGCCTCCACCTGCCTGTCCCCGGGGACACTGGCAGGTCCATCGGCTCTTCACCTGGGCCCAGGCTGACACCACCTCCCAGGGGGACTTGTCCGCCCTAAACCCCTTAGGCCACAGCACAGCCCCTGGCGCCCTCGCCTTCCTGCCACCCCCTCCCTCCCACCCTGCCCTGAGGACCCTCCGCCACAGGCAGCAGCCTCTTCCCGTTCCTCCACCACCGCCTCTGCACTGCAGCCCTCTGGCCATGATCCCTCCCATCCCAGATTCTTCACACACACCCCACCCCTTCACCGTGATCTCCTTGCCCCAGCTGGCAAGCTCTCCTTTCCTCCTGCTGCAGCCTCAGGGGCCCTGTCCCCAGGCTCCCTCTGTGGCACCCGTCCCCATGTTGGGTCATCTCATCCCATCTCCCATTCCTCCCTTCCCCTCTCCTACTTCCCGCCCTGAGAAAAGTGTGGGGAGGAGGCGTGGGGGGCACAGGTGTGCCAGCCTCTCAATCAGTTCCTTTATATGCTACTAGTGGCCCGGTGCATCAATTCATGCACATTGAAAGGAAATTAATTAGAAGGTGGCTGGTGGGGCAGCCTGGGAGAGATGGGTGGGACACACCCTGGAGCCAAACTCCCAGGGTCCCTCCTAGGCCAGCCACACCTGGGGTAGCATCGTGGCTCCAAAGGCAGCTGTGGAGTGAGGGGGTCCCTCTGGCAGGTGGAATCCCTCAGCTTGGTCTGCGGGGATCAGGCTGAAACCAGCTCTCCGACATCACCCGAGGGGTCCCGGAGTGCGAGAGGGCACTCTGCAAAGTTGCTATCATGCAGGGTGTGGAACACAAACACACGTGTGCAGTAACCAGATTCGGGCACACCTGCCCCAGAAACGACATAACCCATGGCCGAAGGTGGAATCCAGCGGCCCGGGGAGGAAGCCGGCTCCCTCCTCTCTGGTTTCTGGTGCGTCACCTGAGCCATCTGCCAAGTCACTTCAGCTCCTGTGTTGAGCGTCTGCCCCCTGGTGGTCAGTGCACAGACAGTGGGAAGGACACTTAGCACCTTAGCCTTTTATATATAGATTTCAGACAGGAAAGGAGAGGGAGGTAAGATAGAAGAATCAATGATGAGAATCATTAATCTGCTGCCTCCTACAGGCCCCCCACTGAGGACCAAGCCTGTAACATGGGCATGTGCCCTGACCAGGAATCGAACCCTGACCTCCTGGTTCATAAGTTGATGCTCAACCACTGAGCCACACCAGTTGGGCCTAAGCAGAGGTTCTTTACACTAATAAGAGAAAGATGGAAATTGACCATACCCCCATGACACCCATCAGCCAATCAGGAGTGGTTATGCAAATTAACCCAACAAAGATGGTGGGCTAATTTGCATATGCAGGCATGGAGCAAAGACTGAAGGCTCTGGCCTGAGTGAAGACTGAAGAGGCAGGGCTTCTCCGTTGTGGCCGGAGTGAAGGCCTGGGTGCTGGGTGCCAGAGGAAACCAGTGCCAGCAGCCAGGGGAAGGAAGGCCTATTGCACGAATGTTCATGCAACAGGCCTCCAGTGTGTGTGTGTGTGTGTATACACACTTTTTTTAACTTCAGAGAGGAAGGAAAAGGGGGAGGGATAGAAACATCGATGAGAGAGAATCATTGACTGGCTGCTTCCTATATGCCCCATACTGGGGATTGCGCCTGTAACTCAGGCATGTAACCAAGGGCTTGACGGGAATGGAACCCAGAACCCTTCAGTTTGTAGGTTGATGCTCCAACTACTGAGCCAAACTGGCTAGGGCTAAGCAGAGGGTTTTTTTCTTATTTTATTGATTTTTTAAAAATCTATCTTTATTCATATTATTACAAAGGTTCCTCATTTCTTCCCCCCTCCACCAGGTTCCCACCCCCCATAGTCCTCATCCATAGGTGCACAGTTTATGTTCAGTCTCTTCCTCCCTCCCTTTCCCCGAGAACAGTCAGTCCACTCCCCTCCCATATCGCCGACTCTACTACAATGAACAGCTATTATTGTTCACCAGGTTTTTCAATCTCCTTTGTTGTTGTTGTTTTTAATTAATAAACTTTTACACTTCTAATAAATTTTAAAATCTAATATGTTTTATTGATTTTTTACAGAGAGGAAGGGAGAGAGACAGAGTTAGAAACATCGATGAGAGAGAGTCATTGATCAGCTGCCTCTTGCACACCCCTCTTGCACACCCCCTACCGGGGACATGCCCACAACCTAGGTACATGCCCTTGACTGGAATCAAACCCAGGACCTTTCAGTCCCCAAGCTGACGCTCTATCCATTGAGCCAAACCGGTTTCTGGCTAAAATCTAATAATTTTAAACCTTGTTTTTTTTCTGCCCTGGGAATTGAGAGCAAACTTGTTTACATGTAAACTTGCCCTTAGGCTATCAAAAGGTGTAGCCATTCAAGTGTAAATGGACACATTGTTTAAACATAGCTGCTGGTTGGAATTGGATTACCTGTTCTGGGTGGGAAGGGCTTGTCATTCCCTTTCTCCATTAAAATTAAGGTGTTAGCTTTAAAACCTCTTTTTGGCAAGAGACCTTAAACTTTCAGAACTTTAAATTTTTCAGATAGTAAATCAGTTACTTAGCATTTTCTCAAATCAATAATATCTCCACATGCCCAAGGATACACTTCACACAAAAGACATTTCCAAATAGATCAAACAACCTCATCCAGGCCCCACACAAGGCACTCACAGATCAACACCCCAGCACCATACTAACTCAACACATCCAGATCTAAGCCTTCATCACTTGATTCAGCAGACCCTCAAGTTCCCCCCAAAGTTTCCAGCCATGTCTGAGAGGCAGCCCTGGGGCGGAGGCAGGTGAGGAACCAGCTGCTCCGGGCCCAGCTGCTCCCGACCTGGCTGCTCCGGGCCCGGCCACTCCGGACCTGAATGTTCCTGGACTGGCCATCCTGGGCCTGGCTGCCTCTGACTCAGGCCTGGCTGCCACTGCCCCAGGTCTGACAGCTCCGGGTCTGGCTGCCACTGCCTTGTGCCTGGCCACTCTAGGCCTGGCCGCCGCCGTTCCACCATTCTGTCCTTTTTTTGTTTTGTTTTTTTTTTAAACGCATTTATGTTGCAATGTTGGCTGCTGAATTGAGTTCTGACTTAGTCTTTGATTTTTAAAGATCTTCTTTGTATTCTTTCTTAAGTAATTTTACTATCTTTTGCTCTCCCTTGATTTCTTTGCATTGAAAACTTCTTCGGTTTCTTCCTCCTTGTCCTGGAAGCTCAGCAGGTTGGCCTGCGGCACCCCTTTGTTCTCCACGGGCTCCTGCACTGCTTCAGCCTGTTGCCGGGGTCGGCGCTGCCCAGGAAGCAGCCCCCGGCCTCGGCTCCGTGGCCCGAGCTCAGAGGTCGAAGGCCCAGGGGCACCCCCCTCCCCCGGGGGCCCCGTCGCCCGGCTCCTTGCTGGCACCCGGCTGGCCAGTGTCCTGCAGGGGCTCCTGCTCCTCATCATGTTCCTCCCAGTTTGGAGCTTTTTTCTCCTTCCCGCTAGGGGAGTCTAGCATCAGAGTCAACAGACTGTCCTCTGCGAGCAATGTGCGCGACTCCGGGGGCCCTGCTTTTTGCCACTCCCCTGGGATTCCGCCTCACAGCCCCGTCTCCCCTGCCTGAGCCTGGGTCCCCAGGGTCTGGCCCATAACTGGGGCTCAGCGCTGCTGGTTCCGGGGTTCAGCCCAGGCTGGGGCTTTTATTTCCTTCCTGCTAGGGAACGCCAGGCAGGCCCCCAGCCCTCTCCTCCTCTCCGGCTGCGACCTCTCCGCGCGCATGCGTGCGGGCGCGCAGCATGTCTCCGTACCTTAGGCTTTTTTCAGCTCCTCTGATTTTCCTTCTGGTTTTCTCTTTCCTTCTTGTTGTAGAATTTTCTGTCAGTCAACTACCTGTAGCTCTGGGCGATGTCCACTCTACATTTTAGTTGTATTCCATTGAAATTGTTGTGTGCTGCTGCGGTTAGATGTCTACCCGAGCAGCCATCTTGGATCCTCCCTCTGATTTTTATTTTATTTTTTTATAGATAAGGGAACTGCAGTGTAGAAATTGCTCAGGAAGTGTAGGCCTGGGGGAGAATATCTCAGGGAGTTCGGGCCTTGGGTGTGTGTGTGTGATTATCTCAGTGAGTGCAGGCCCAGAGGCGGGGGGTGAGGGGGGGATATTTCACAAAGGGCGGGCCTGGGGGGCAGGTGTATGAATATCTCGGGGAGTGTGTGCCTGGGGGCAGGTATATGAATATCTTGGGGAGTGCGGGCCTGGGGGGGATAGATCAGGGAGTGAGGGGGATAGATGGGGGGGGGGGGGGGATAGCTGATCGATGTGAGGGCCTGGGGGGGGATAGATCAGGGGGCAGGTGTATGAATATCTCGGGGAGTGCGGGCCTGGGGTGGGGGGTAGATCAGGGAGTGAGGGCCTGGGGGGGTATAGATCAGGGAGTGCAGGCCTTAGAAACATCGATCAGCTATCTCCTTCTAGAGATGTGCCCGCAAGCAAGGTGCATGCCCTTGACCAGAATGGAACCTGGGACCCTTCAGTCCACAGGTCTATCTACTTCTTGAGGCAGGAAGTTGGGGCCTGAGCATATCTTTCATCACTCAGTCCTCACAAGGCACATGCCTCAGGCTGTAGAAGAAAATAATCATGAACAAATACAAGTCAGTCCCTGTAACTGGTGACATTCTCCAAAGTCTACTTCATGCTCAAAACGTCCCAGAGAAACTCCATTACCCAGAGCCCCCGCTGCCCACCCCCTCCCCACACCAGGTCTCACCTTTAGAAGCCTTGAGAGACACATCAGAGCCCAGGGAACTGTCACTGTCTGGGGTAGAACAAGACAGGATGTGGTCAGAGCCCCCAAGACAGGAGACTGCCACGGGCTCCCGTCTGCATTGTCAGAGGCCTCAGGGGTCACCCCTCCATACTCACTGGCAGCCTGCGCGTAGCTCCCTCCTTTTCCACCTGCGGGAAGCAAACACCCTGTGAGACCAGGGAGGAGGCAGGGCCTTGAGGTCCTAAAGGAAGCCCTAGTCCTGGGCCCAGAGAAGTTTCCAGAACCATGGCAGGATCAGGAAACCTGAGGAAAGTACATGTGGGGACTGGACCAACTGCCCTCCTGGTCTGCCCTCCGCAGGGACCGCCCTCGGACCTGGCCTCCATCAGTAGCATCACCAGGTGATGAGTCTGTGCCTCACTCTCACAGGGGCCTGAGAGTTAGTGAGCAAACACGGCCCACATGGGCCAGCACAGTGGGGGGCTGGTGCTTCCCATGATGAAGTGGGACACACGTCTTGCTGGGCTTGAACCCCCAGTGGGACAGACACTCAGACCCCACCCCTGCCCACCTGAGCGCCTCCTCCCCCACATCACAGCTCCAGCCACAGCTCCCAGCAGGACCAGGCCCCCAGCGATGCCCAGGATGATGAAGATGAAGGTCTGAGGAGGCGGCTCTGGAAGGAGAAGGGAAGGGAGGGTGAGGGCCCTGACCCCAGGCCTCAGCCCCACCCCACTGAGGTCCCCCAGAGCCCCGCTGCCCTGAGAGGAGGCTTTGTGCCCACGGCCCTCCTCACCCCATCTCAGGGTCAGGGGCTCGGGCAGCCCCTCGTGCTGCACATGGCACGTGTATCTGTGCTCCTCTCCAGGGGGCACCCCCACGGCCGCCCACTTCTGGAAGGTGCCGTCCCCCGCAGGCCGGGTCTCCACCATCTCCATGTCCTGGGTCTGGTCCTCCCCGTCACGCTGCCAGGTCAGGCTGATGTCCGCAGGGTAGAAGCCCAGCGCCCAGCACCTCAGGGTGACCTCATGGGCAGAGACGGGGTGGTGGCTCACGTGTGCCTTTGGAGGGTCTGAGGGAAGGGTGAGGATATTCAGGAACTTGGCATCGATCATGGGCCATTCCAGCTGTGCCCACGTGACCATCCTTGGACAGGACCCCTGTGGCAGGGGAAGGAGCACACAGCCACACACCAGGCTGGACTGAGGCAGCAGGTAGGACCTCCCAGGCTTCAGAAAGCTCTAGAATCAGACAGATACAGCCCAGGGCAGGAGGCGGGCCTCTGAGGGAAGAAAAGGGATTTCTGGTCCTGACCTGGGAGGAGGCCACGTGACTCAGAAAAGCCGAAGTCAGACCTCGGACCCAGTGGGCGAGGGATAGCGAGCAAGGCCTGGGAGAGAGGGTCCCTGTGGGTCCCAGAGCCACCGCAGGCCCATGGGAGCCTGATCGATTATTTCAGGGGTGGTCCCAGCTCCTTTCCCGAAGAGAAAGCTGGGGGCACTCTGCTACCGGGGCTTCGGTCTCTCCACGCAAGGAGGGCCTTATTTTGAGGCTGACCTCATTCCCCCCCACCTCCCCTTCGCAGGCCCAGCGCTTGCCCCTGGCACCTGTGCGCAGCAGAATGTCCTTCCCTTTCTCCAGGTATTTGCGGAGCCAATCCATGCACACCCTCTCCAGGTAGTTCCTCTGCACCTCCGCCTCATCCACGTCCTCGTATCTTTGCCGGGAATACTGAGCCGCCGCGCTGGCCGCGGTCCAGGAGCTCAGGTCCTCGTTCAGGTAGATGTAGTCGGCGCCGTCGTAAGCGAACTGGTCATAACCGCGCAGGAAGCGCCTGTCCGGCCCCATTTCGCAGCCGTACATCCACTGGAACGTGTGAGACCCTGGCCCCGCCCCCGCGGTCAGCCGCGCCTCCAGCCCCGCCCCGCCCCCGCGGTCAGCCCCGCCCCGCCCCCGCGGTCAGCCCCGCCCCTCGCCCCAGCTCCGCTCCCCCGCCCCGCCCCGCCCCGCGGGGATTAAACGTAAACTGAAAGAGAAGTCAAAACAGTTCCCGGAAGGCTCCTCCCCTGGGGCTGGGGGAGGAGCGGGAGGGGGAGGGACCAGCGGGGGAGCTCCACCCGGACTCTCCGAGGGGATGGGGGGGCTCCGCGGCTCACCGTCCGAGCTCTGGTTGTAGTATTCCCGCAGGTTCCTCATGTTCGCACGGAAAGCCTGTGCGGTTTCCTTGATGTTCCAGGTCTCCACGTCCCAATAGCGCGGGTCCTCCTGCTCCACCCACGGCTCCCGCATCCACGGCTCCCGCGGCTCCATCCTCCGGTTCGCGGAGTCGCTGTCAAACCTCACAAACTGCGTGTCGTCCACGTAGCCCACGGCGATGAAGCGGGGCTCCACGCGGCCGGGCCGGGACACCGCCGTGTAGAAATATCTCAGGGAGTGCGGGCCTGGGGGGGAGGGGATAGCTCAGGGAGTGCGGGCCTGGGGGGGGAGGGGATAGCTCAGGGAGTGCGGGCCTGGGGGGGGGAGGGGATAGCTCAGGGAGTGCGGGCCTGGGGGGGAGGGGATAGCTCAGGAGTGCGGGCCTGGGGGGAGGGGAGAGCTCAGGGAGTGGGGCCTGGGGGGGGAATAGCTCAGGGAGTGGGGGCCTGGGGGGAGAATAGCTCAGGGAGTGGGGGTCTGGGGGGGGGATAGCTCAGGGAGTGGGGCCTGGGGGGGGAATAGCTCAGGGAGTGGGGGCCTGGGGGGAGAATAGCTCAGGGAGTGGGGGTCTGGGGGGGGAATAGCTCAGGGAGTGGGGTCTGGGGGGAGGAATAGCTCAGGGAGTGCGGGCCTTGGGGGGGAATAGCTCAGGGAGTGGGGCCTGGGGGGGGAATAGCTCAGGGAGTGCGGGCCTTGGGGGGGAATAGCTCAAGGAGTGCGGGCCTGGGGGGGGAATAGCTCAGGGAGTGGGGGTCTGGGGGGGGAATAGCTCAGGGAGTGCGGGCCTTGGGGGGTAATAGCTCAGGGAGTGCGGGCCTTGGGGGGGAATAGCTCAGGGAGTGGGGCCTGGGGGGGAAATAGCTCAGGGAGTGGGGCCTGGGGGGGGGAATAGCTCAGGGAGTGGGGCCTGGGGGGGAAATAGCTCAGGGAGTGGGGCCTGGGGGGGAAATAGCTCAGGGAGTGGGGCCTGGGGGGGGAATAGCTCAGGGAGTGGGGCCTGGGGGGGGAATAGCTCAGGGAGTGGGGACCTGGGGGGGGGAATAGCTCAAGGAGTGCGGGCCTGGGGGGGAATAGCTCAGGGAGTGCGGGCCTGGGGGGGTGAATAGCTCAGGGAGTGGGGGCCTGGGGGGGGGGGGAATAGCTCAGGGAGTGTGGGCCTGGGGAGGGTGAATAGCTCAGGGAGTGGGGGTCTGGGGGGGAATAGCTCAGGGAGTGGGGGTCTGGGGGGGGGAATAGCTCAGGGAGTGGGGGCCGGGGGGGGGAATAGCTCAGGGGGTGGGGGCCTGGGGGGGGGGAATAGCTCAGGGAGTGGGGGCCTGCGGGGGAATAGCTCAGGGAGTGGGGCCTGGGGGGGGAATAGCTCAGGGAGTGGGGCCTGGGGGGGGGGGGAATAGCTCAGGGAGGGGGGCCTGGGGGGGGAATAGCTCAGGGAGTGGGGCCTGGGGGGGAATAGCTCAGGGAGTGGGGCCTGGGGGGGGAATAGCTCAGGGAGTGGGGGCCTGGGGGGGGGGAATAGCTCAGGGAGTGGGGGCCTGGGGGGGGAATAGCTCAGGGAGTGGGGGTCTGGGGGGGGAATAGCTCAGGGAGTGGGGGCCTGCGGGGGAATAGCTCAGGGAGTGGGGGCCTGCGGGGGAATAGCTCAGGGAGTGGGGGCCTGGGGAGGGTGAATAGCTCAGGGAGTGGGGGTCTGGGGGGCGAATAGCTCAGGGAGTGGGGGTCTGGGGGGGGGAATAGCTCAGGGAGTGGGGGCCTGGGGGGGGAATAGCTCAGGGAGTGGGGGCCTGCGGGGGAATAGCTCAGGGAGTGGGGGCCTGGGGGGGGGTGTGAATAGCTCAGGAAGTGGGGGTCTGGGGGGGGGGATACTCAGGGAGTGCGGTCCTAGGCATGGGGTGGGGGTGGGGGGGAGTGGCAAGAAAGGGGCGGGGCGGGGCGGCGGCAGGAGGGGCGCCTTAGCCCGGTCCCAGCCGAGTCCCCGCGCCTCCTGGCAGAGGCGGCTCCCTCCCACCCGCACTCACCGGCCCAGGCCTCCATCAGGAGCAGCAGGAGGAGGGTTGGGGGCCTCTGGACCCGCATTCTCCGGGGGGTGGGGGGAGGCGGAGGGAGACTCCGTGGCACGGCGGCGGTGGGTTCGGAAAGTGGAACAGTTGAGGGGAAGGGCGGGCGGGGAGACTCGCCGCTGGGCGGGCTCACAAAGCCGGGCTCGCAAACCGGAGCAGCTCTGGTCGGGAGAGGGCCGTGCTGAGACACGAACACCCAATGAGCTGGGACGCTCACGGGTTCTGGCAGGAGTTCAAACTGGGGCGTTGAGAGGAAGTGAAACACCAAGGACTTTCCAGCCCATCCTCCACCCTGAGAGCGCAGAGCGCCGGGGACTGGCCCTGACCCCGTGCGCACGGGCTCCTGCCGCCTGGCTCCGGAGCCGGACGCAGGGTCAGTGTGAGGAAGCCAGCCCGGGAGACCGCGCCGCTCCACCAACAGGAAACCCCGCCGTGGGGCACCGCGAAGACAGACTTTCAGCTCCAAACAGCTGGATGTGACCATTGTGCTCTGGCCCGGGCAGGAGGCTCCGCTGTGCTCCGCGGAAGCCCCTCTCCACGGGCAGAGCTGGCTGTGCGCAGCCGGTTCGTGTGCGGACTCCCAGCCCCGCTGTGGGTGAACAGAACAGGGCCACTCTGGTTGGTCCGGGTGTGCGCCTCCTAGTGGATGAGGAAGCGTCAGTCCTGTTGGCCGAAAAGGGATCCGAGTCGGCTGAGATGGCAGCTCCAGCGCCAAATGAGCAGGACAGATGGAGTCCTAGAGCAGCGTTTTCCAACCGCTGTTCCGCCTGGTGTGCCGCAGGTGCAGACAAGACAAGAATTTTATAATTTTTCACTATTTTGTTTACTTAATATTTCATAATAAAGTAATTATAAAATACTTTCTTTGTGTTTATTTGATTCCTATTCAAGAGAATTACTTTATATATAGTCAATATAGGCACAGAGTTAAATTTTTTAACATTTTCTAATGGTGGTGTGCCTCGTGATTTTTTTCATGAAACAAGTGTGCCTTTGCCCAAAAAAAGTTGAAAAACACTGTCCTAGAGAGCTCTCGGACAGCTGTGGGGCAGGGGTTTGGCAGGGCGGTGATGTGGTGCGATTGAGCAAAAAGGAAAAAGGGGGGAGAACTGGACAACCGTGTAGAGATTGCAGGATGTGGCCTTCTGTGCACCAGCCAGCTCTGCCCTAGCTCTGGGATCCCCTTCCCTCCCCGTGGAGCAGAAGTTTCACCAGAGCACAGCGAAGCCTCCTGCTGCACAATGGTCACAACTGAGCTGAAAGTCTGTCTTCACGGTGCCCCACAGCGGGGTTTCCTGTTGGTGTTACCTGTGCGCCAACCACCCGGGGAGGGGAACCAGTGGAAGTGGAGGAGGACAGGACGTGGAGAGTATTGGGGGAAATGGTGATGGATGAGACTTCACTTGGGGCACTGAGGGAGCTGGGCAGGGGGAGGGGCGGCCCCACTGACCTCCCTGCAGATGGCAACCAGTGGCCGGCAGGCCCTGGCCACCTGATTGGGGCTGGGCCCAGGCTGGGATGGGGATCTGGGGGTGGGTGGTGGCCACCAACCTCCCGTGGCTCTTCCACCTCACACCGGCTACCTGGGGGCGGGGTGACAGGGATGGAGGTGCAGTGAGAATGTGGGGTGTCCACCGAGCTCCCTCTCCCACTGCTCCCTCCCCGGGACACACGTGCTAGGGAAGCCCCACACTCAGGTGCCCGCCCTGCACCTGGGCGGCCGCTGGGACCACAGGGCCGGTGGGGCTCCCCGTGGGTTCCCATAGGAGCCGGTCTGTGAGGCCAGCTGGTGAGAGCATGCTGCACGCCCGGCTTCCGTGCGGTGTGGCTGGGTGGCCCAGAGGCCCACACTGTGCCCCGGCCCATGGCGTGCAGCCGTGCTCACTGCATCTCTGCATGGGGACTCCGGCAGGGGAGGGGGCTGTGGGTGCCCAGGTGCTGCCCAGGGCCCAGAGGTCAGCTGGGACCTGCCCTTCCACTCCAGACCTCCTGCTTTGATTGCGGTCAGGCCCAGGGACTGCACCGTGCAGGAATTTCATGCACCGGGCCTCTCGTCTACATGTATAAAAGCCAAGCGACCAGAACAACGGGTCCCAATGATGCACACTGCAGTGGCCAACCAGCCTGGTCAGGGCCGATCGCCCCCCACAGACCTTCCCTGCCCTCCTCCCCACTACCCGACTTGATCGGCCCCCGTTGGGGCAGGCTGGCCAGACCCCACCCGTGCATGAATTCGTGCACTAGACCGCCAGTAGGTCTATAAAACAACATATTTAAACCTGAGAGTGCCACTGTTTTAGAATGTCTACCTCTGCTGCTTTCCTCCCTGTCTGCTTCTCCAGTTCTCCATCCCTCAGGCCTCTTCTCCGCTTTGTCTCTATCACCTTCCGACTATGGCACTAGTGCCACCACCTCACCTGTCACCCAGAGACTGTTCTCCCCACAGGGGTCAGCAATCCTGCTAACTTGTCAGCTTGTGTCATTTATTCACGTATAAAACTCTAATGGCTCTCATGTCATTCATATAAACGCTGAAGAATGTAAGGCACGTGACCACAGGGACTTTGGACTGTTTAAATCAAAACTGTATCTCCAGCACATGAAGCGATTTCCTGGTACATTCTAAGGATTAAATTAATTATTATCAAATGAATGAATGAAAGATAATTGTGTTAAAATTTAATTACATTACCTAAAAGCCATAGAAGAAAAACAAAAAAGTTAGGAAATACTTTATTACATATAAGTACTGTACATGTCAGTTCATAATTATTTTTTTAGATAAATTTTTATTGTTCACATTATTACAAATGTTCCTCTTTTCCCCCCCCTCCATTGCTCTCCTCCACCAGGTTCCCACCCCACCCTCTGCCCTTTCCCCACCCCCCATTGTCCTCATCCATAGGTGCACAGTTTATGTTCAGTCTCTTCCCACATCCTCTCTCCCCTTTTCCCCCCAAATTGGCAGTTCACTCCCCTTTCATACCTCTGATTCTATTATATTCAACAGTTAATATTGTTCATCAGTTCTTCTTTTTTTCTTTTTTAATTTCCTTGGTTTTTAGATTCACTTGTTGATAGTTACATATCTGTTGTTCATAATTTTTATCTTTATTTACTTTCTCTTCCGAAAGAACCCCCTTCAGCAATTCATATAATTCTGGTTTGGCGGTGATGAACTCCTTTACCTTTATTAGTGAAGCTCTTTATCTGACCTTCGATTCTGAGTGATAGCTTCGCTGGGTAGATTATTTTTGGCTGTAAGTTCTTGCTATTCATCACCTTAAATATTTCTTGCCATTCCCGTCTGGCCTGCATGGTTTCTGTTGAGAAATCAGCTGACGTTCGTATGGGTGCTCCTTTATAGGTAACCACCTGCTTTTCTCTTGCTGCTTTTAATATTCTCTCTTTGTCTTTTGCTCTTGGAATTTTAATTATGATGTGTCTTGGTTTGGTCTTCTTTGGATTCCTTTTGTTTGGAGTTCTGTGCGCTTCCTGGACTTGTTAAGTCTAATTCTTTCACCAGGTGGGGGAAGTTTTCTGTCACTATTTCTTTCAGTATGTTTTTTTTTTGTTTTGTTTTTTAAATATATTTTATTGATTTTGTACAGAGAGGAAGGAAGAGAGATAGAGAGTTAGAAACATCGATGAGAGAGAGTCATCGATCAACTGCCTCTTGCACACCCCCTACTGGGGATGTGCCCGCAACCAAGGTACATGCCCTTGACCGGAATCAAACCCGGGACCTTTCAGTCCCCAAGCCGACGCTCTATCCATTGAGCCAAACTGGTTTCGGCTCTTTCAGTATGTTTTTGATATCTTGCTCTCTCTCATCTTCTGGGACCCCCATAATTCTGATGTTGGTTCGCTTGAAGTTGTCCCAGAGATTTCTTACAGTATCTTCAACTTTCTGGATTCTCTTGCCTTCTAGCTTCTGCGGAGGAGTGTCTTCTGGCTCTTTATGTTCCAATTCTTTGACTTGATTCTTGCAATCTTCCATTCTGTTTTTAGGACAATGTATTCTTTATTTCTTGTTGATCTTTTATTATTTCTTGTTGATCCCTTATTATTTCTTGTTGATCCCTTATTATTTCATTGATTCCTTATTAATTCTAGTTGATAGCTTTTCATATCCTCATAGGTCTTATGGACCTTTTCTAGGAAATTCTTGAAAAACCTTATAAGCATAGATTTGAACTCTATATCCAGTCGCTTTTTGTCCTCCATTTCTTTCGTTTGTGATCTATTGATATTTTCTTGTCTTGGCATTGTCACAGCTTCCCTGATGGGGCGGGGTTTCAGGGTGGAGCCTAGAGGCTTGGCTTCCTTCAGCCACACCCTATGTGGCTCCTGAGTCTCAGTAATCCCCAGGGTCCTTCAGTACTCCTTGCAAGCACCTCTGAGAGAAAGGTGCCCTCGATTTTAGCCTGTTACTAAACAGTCTAGTCTCTCCCACAATGAGCCCGGAACTGGGGTTCAGTTCATTTGGAAGTGGAGTTGGAGGTGGCGTTCAGAGCAGACAGGGGCTTTTGTCTCCTTCCCGCCAGGGCAATCCAGGGGCACAGCCAACTGTCCCTTCTCTGCACGTAATGTGCGCACCTCCGGGACCTTCTTTTGCCGCTCCCCCGGGGTTCCGCCTTACAGCCCAGCTCCCTCTATGTGAGCCTGGGTCCCCGGGGTCTGGCCTAGAACTGGGGTTCAGAGCAGTCGGAACTGGGGCCCAGCACAGTCCGGAGCCTTGGTCTCCTTCCCACCAGGGCAATCTAGCAGCAGAGTCAACAGTCCGTCCTCTGCCTGTAATGTGTGCGCCTCCGGGGGCTCTGCCTTTCGCTGCTCCCCTGGGATTCTACCTCACAGCCCCGGCCCCTTCTGTTTGAGCCTGGGTCCCCAGGGTCTGACCTAGAACTGGGATTCAGTGCTGTTGGGTCTGGGGTTCGGCACAGTCGGAGCTTTTATCTCCTTCCCGCTAGGGAACGCCAGCCAGGCACTCAGCCGCCCCTCCTCTCCGGTGCCGTCCTCTCCGCACGCCATGTGTCTCCGTACCTTAGGCTTTTCCAGCTCCTCCGCTCTTCC